ATCTATATATATATATTGTATTTGAATCATAATCTTAGAGCATTTACATAAATACCAGCCAATTCCTATGTACTAACTTTGCTCTTCACATCACACAAAACATATCCAAAGGTGAATACACCTTTTGATACATGCAATCTTAGTTATACATGAAAAGATGCATTTCATTTTTTTTAAGTTAAAATGGTGATATTTTTGATGAAATGTGCAACAAAATATGGGTGATATAAATACAAAAAGTAAAAAAAAAAAGGTTTTAAATGTATAAATATTTAATACATAGGAATTGGGAGGTATGAATGTGGATGCCCCTAAAATTTTAGAGGAAGATTTGAGTGGTATTAATGTAAAAAAATAAAAAAATAGGGCTGGATGTATAAAAATACATATGAATTGGGTGGTGCATGCAAAAATGATCCTAATTTTTAAATTTTTTTGATTTGTCAGCTAAAATTAGTTCACGGGGGAAAAATCTGCAGCCGCAAGTCAGAAGTTGCATCCGCTCAAATTTCGTCGTGGGCCCCACCAACGAAAATAATCCACAAAGAAATGAAATTTCGTTGTGGGCCCCACCAACCGACGAAAAATAATCCACAGACACAAGAAATTTCGCTGTGGGCTCCACTCGAGCGGAGGCCGTACTGCCGTGACTTTCGTCGCTGCAATATTTATGAGGATGCATGGTGGGGCCCACCCTACTCCCCAACGGTCCATCGCCCGTGATTCGGTTGCCGGAACTTAATTTAGCATTTTCAAAATTTACTGGGGGAACCGGCGCCATCATCATGTTAGGCACATATTTATATTTATTTAATAAATTTAAATAAAGAAGGTATTTACATACATACCATTTAATTTTCTTGTATTTATATATTTCTCCTAATTTTTTTATATTTACATGCAAAATACTCAAATTTTTAATATATATGTTATTTATTAAAATCTTAGATGCTAGATTTTTAATTTTATTTAAAATTCTCTATCTAAAGATAATATTATTTTGCATTTATGAATGAATTCATTAAATACCACAATCATCATTTACTGAAATATTTAATATAAGTCTCATAGACTAGACAAAGTTTGGACTAAAATTCGTTCATGATTATTTTGAATATTTTAAATTAATAATAATTACAATTTATAAGAAATTAAACATACATATTGAGCTTGTAGCTCATGTATTTTCTCAAAAGCTGGTCTGAAATCACTTTAAAAAATTAATTAATTTTAAAAATACCATCATTCTAAATTTCAAAAATTGAAATTCATATTTTTCATATCGCATCTATGTAGGGCCCATTTGGGATAGCTTATGAGTGCGACGTCGTTTTTTAAAACGGTGCCTAACCGTTTGGTTTGAGCTTTTTTGAAAACCCTGCCACGTACCTGCGGGCCGCGTTTAAAGATAAACTGTTTATCAGGAAACTCAAAGCTGCCCCAAACAACCCCTCTTAAGTATTGGACATGAAAAAAAATTTGACATTCCAACCATTCAGAAGTCATACAAAGCTTGAAATATAAAGGATTGATCATCCCCTTTAAGAAAAATAAATTTTTGAGTGATTAAAATATAAATTTTAAATTTAGATGGCCTGGAATGTAAAAACCCCAAATAAAAAAAAAACAAGTAATAACAGTTGAAGCAATTTCTTAAAAAGTTTTTTTTAAAAAAAAATTAACAAATTTAAAGAATGAAGAATTACGGAAAATAACTCCAAAATAATTCTGGATCTCAAGACAAAATTCAAAAATTTAACCCAAAAAAAAATAAAAATCTTCCTGTCAGCTATGATTTCTGAACAGTATGGGCGAGGAATTGAGACTTACTGACAATGTCACCCACATGGAAGGTTTTAGAAGCAGCCCAAGCTGTGTAGTTGGGGCTGTTCAATATCGTCCATCCGATCGAGTCGCCGACGGTGTAGATCTTCGCGGCCGACGAATTCAGCCCGGCGAAGACGAAGAAGGCGGCCAAGATCAACCCTACTTTCAGAAAAGAAGCCATTATTGCTGCTTCTCTGGACAGGGAAAGTTTTTTTCTGAAGGAGTATCCTAATCTTTGGAGTCCGCCTTTCTGAGGTTTAAGTAGACCAATGCGGCTATCGTAATTACAATAATAGCCCCCATCCCCCTTCCGCTGAAATTAGAGATCTGGTGGTACAGGGTGTAAATAAATTGAATTGACCAAAAATCACCCGACTTTTAAATTTAAATTTAAATTTTTTGTCTTTGTTATGAAAAAAAATGAAGGTTTACATAAATACCACTCAATTTTTATATATCTACACACATAAACTTACAATTTTTACTTACCACCTTAAAAAGGTGCATTTCAGTTTTAAAAAACTAAAGGGATAATTTTTTTTTATTTGATACGAAAGATTTGTGTGCTATAAATATAAAATAAAAATTTTAGGTGTTAAATATGTAAATACATAAGAATTGTCTGATTTGTATGCAAAAGCTTCAATACAAAGTCATATATATATATATATATATATATAATACACACACACGGTAATTTTCTGAGGAAAGATGAGGGATCATCGTCCTTTTACTCTTGAGACCGTCTTTACAATGACTTCTCAATTTAAGTAAATGTTGTCGGCCGGCGTGATCGACTGTATCGGCCGGTCGTCTGGAATCCGCCTATATCGAGAGGGCGTAATCAGTTGATCTGAATTCGGTTGGTCGTCCTGACAAGAGATCGGTCTGATAGGCTTTGTGAGACCTGTTGCCTCCGCTGATCAATCGACAGTGGGTTGATTTGTTTCGTCGGGTGAGTCGTAACTCGTTGTTTGGCTGAAGTCTTACAGGATTTGTCTCTTATGTCTGGTCAGTTGTCGCCTCGACCGGTTCTCCCCTCTTGCAAGGCCTTTGGCAGATCTTGTCGCTGCCTATACGGGGTATCCGATGAAACTCGTTGCTGGGATGTTTTTACGCCTCACCCTTGTTGAATATTGTCGGTACAGAGTGGGAAATTATCTCCAGAGCTTTGACTTATCCCGGGTTTAGAGACGCGGTTTCTCATGTTTGACGTTGTGTTGTTGGTCGATTGCTTACCTCGGAGGGAAGCTTATTATTCTAAGTCTTCGTTCTCTTTGAGACTCGTGTTGGTAATTTTGTTGTATACATATTAGTTTCTTGAGCTTTCCTGCTCATTGGTGGTGAAAGTTGCGATAAGGACATGAAAATTATTGGTTAATCGTGTCATGAAAATACAAAAAGAATAAAATAATAATTAATTCTCCATTCATTTTCATACCTTGCGTGCCTTATATATAAGGCAAGGAATTGGGCTATTTATCTGTCGTCGACGTTTTCTAGACAGCTGAGTAGGCATTATGTCAGGTGGTACAAGCAAAAAGATGAACGTACCTTTAGAAGGAAAAAGGTGGTTAGAAAAGAAAAAAAGTGGGAGATAGCCAGTCCTAAGGCGGTCAATCAGGTTGCTTCTTTTGAGGACCACTTCAATAGAAGTCATCTGTTATCGTCCTACTGAAAGGAAAGGTTGTGTCGCTCCGAGGTTCTCCTAACAACGTCTGTGGTGAGATGGGATCCATCCGTGACTCGACGGTTCTGAGTCGATTCCACAATGAGGTCGGTCAGATAGAGCATATTAGATTTGGTGGAGAGATGGTCTTCCTGAGGTTGCTTGAGAAAGGGTATGCCTCGTCTGAAACCACGAAAGATCCATTCATTAAGCACTTCGTTCAAAACCTATAATAATGTTATTTGTAATAAAATGATATTTTGGAGGAATTTGAAATGATAATTGGTGTCATATTTATTTTTGTGCAACCTTTCGATTTGCGTGCCCGCCCTGCAAATAAGGTCAGGGGTCATTCTTTTTAGCTTTTGTGCTCCATTTTTTTAGTTTTCTAATTTTTCGTCTTCAATTTCTTCTCCTTCTCTGTCTCTCACTCTTTTCGTTTGATTGCAATGACTCTAAAGTATTCTCTGGTTATATTTGGTACTGTGCCAACAACCAACTGTCATTTCTGACGGACCTAGAGGTGAAGAGCCTTCAAGAGTGTTATATGTCAGACACTGCTACACCTAAAATATAGAGTGCTTTTAGACACTTTTGTTATACCTATTTTTGAGATATTACACTTTAATGGAAGATATTTGTGTGTTTTTCTTTCAGGTACAAGCAAAAATGTAAAAAATGCTAAAAGAAGTGAAAAAAGATCGAATTTGGAACAAAAATGCAAAAATGGTGCAAAAGTATTTTGACGCCTAAGAGCCAAAACCGACACTTAAGCGCCTGTGAAACAGAGAAGGCCACGCATAAGCGCCCGACGCCCTGTGCTTAAGCGCCCCTGACAGTTACTTGATGAGTTAATTCATTTTGATGAATTTCGAAGGGACATTTGAGACACCTATTGGCTAAAATGGGTGATTATAACCACCAAGGACGAAAATATAATTAAAGAACTTGTGAAAGGAGACATCCCTTGGTAAATACATCGATCATGACACATTTTGAAGAGATACCAAGGCATCTCTTGGAAAATTATAAAAGAAGAAAGTTGAGATTTTTAGAAGGGGTTCTAAAAAGTCTTGAAAAGTTCTTAAAGAAGTTCGTGGAGAAGCTTTTGGAGAAAATTTCAGGCACCACAAATTTATTTATTCTTTTGTTTTTAGTTTTATTTTGAGAGTTAAGAGTGTTGTAAGAGAGAAGAGATTCAAAGGAACTTCAAGAGTTTGGTAGAAGATTTGAGATAATTTTTTATCTTTGTTTTAAACTACTTTTGGTTTTATTCGAGACTTCTTGTTGGTTTGATAATGATTTCGACTTTTAAACTAAAGTGTGACTTTGTTTTCTCCATGGATTCTGAGTAGTTTTCTTTATCCTTCATGATAAGTAATTAAAGTGTTTGATGAAAGTTGTAGAAATTATTAATCTTTAATTTTGAAAGAAGTTGTGATGATTTAATTCAATGCACTTAATTTACTTCTTGATCTGACCTATCTAGATGTTAAAATTTGTTGTGAGAACATGTAAGAACCGGGCTGGTATTATTTCAGTCAACAATTGGAAATAATCACATGAGTAATCACATGAGATTGTATGAGATTGTATGAATGAGAATATAATTTATATGATTGAATGCAAATAAATAGAGAAATAATCTTTGAAGAGTGTAGAGTTAGAGGACTTTAGAGTGACAGACTAAAGCCCCCAACTAAATTTATTGTTTTAGGTTTTGATACGAGATGTTAGTCTAAAGGGAACCGACAGAACTCTAGAGTGAGAGCTAGTATCTTCCCTGTCTAACCGGTCTTCAAAACTATTCAAACTTTAAATTAACCAATGTTCTTTATAAAATCTCTAGTAAGGGTAAAGAATAATATTGCTCCTATTTAGCACAACACAATTTGAATACTTCCACAACAGAATTCCTATACTTATTACTGATTCATGATAAAGAGAAAGATACTTTGTATTCAATGCTTTTCTTTTACATAAACTCAAAGCCGAACACATGTGAGCCCAGGCTCAGCTCGTGTTCGGCTCATTTATATTTCGAGCTCAAAAAGTGTGTTCGTGTTCTGTTTAAATTCCATTCCCATGATAAAAAAATTATAGTTTAAGTATGTCTTTTTAAAATAGAAAGTTTGTTACTTAAATTATCGCATACTGTGAACAATCCCTGTGGGTTCAATATTCAGGGCTTAATCAAAAAGTTCTATATTACTTGATAACGATATGTATACTTGCATAGTATCCCAATATATATTAAGTTAAAAAGCTAAAATCTTATTTTCTCCAGGATCAAGTTTTTGGTACTGTTGCAAAGTAAAGAAAGATAAGTGAAAAATATGAAATATAATCAAATACATTGTTATATTGTTGCATATAAACAGTCGGAATCAGACACCCAAATTACCCTTCAAGGATGTTGACGTTAGCCCTTATAAGTTTAAATACGATATCCAACTGCCCTTATGGCCTAAGCTTAGGAGTGTGTTTACCAAGTACAGGGTCAAACTGACCCAAGTTCTGTCGAATTCTATTCCAACCATCATGACTTTCATCATATTCTGTCGTTGTTTTAGCATCCCTTGATCGATCAACATTTTCAGCAATTACTTCTCTTTTAAGGTCAACAAAGAGGGGGGTTGCACGTCGTTGTAAATGATCAAGGACTAGCGGAAGAAGTTCTTGATTGACTTTGTGTCCGGTGACTGTAAGATTGCCACCTGTTCGTAGGAGGTGGTAGGTGAAAAGCCAAAGGCTTTACTATCTCACATGCATGCCATCTAGGAGGTGTTGGAAGGGAGTACAATGTCGATCCCCCAATATATCGTGGAAAGGATGGTGAACAGGGTGATGGAAGGGAAAATGACCCCGGGTGACTCGAGGGTTTCAGACAAGAACGAGGCCGATAAAGACAAAGCTGGAAAGGAAAAGCATCAACAATAGTCTAAAGTTGATCTCCCCAAACAGACCTTCATGACAGGTACCACGCTTGATGTTGTGCACCCTCATATTAGGTGATACATAGCCTCTATTTCTGAGACCACGGTTGCCATTCAAGACACGGTGACCGATGAGTTAGCCATAAATGTGTGATCTCACTAGGCTATTACATAGAAAGTGAGGAGGCAAGAAAGGGCTCCAAGGAAACTTAGAAGGAGGCTGCAACCACGGATCCTTCCTCCATCACACTAGATGAAAAGACCTTCGCTACTTCGTTGGATGCTTGACTTGATGCCACTCACTTGGCTTTAGTTGAGAGGGCCAGGGCGACTGAGCCTCCTTCTGTCACCCCAAACAGTTCCACTTCGAGGGGCATTGCTTCTTCTACTGGTTTTGAATACTCATTGTCTCTGGAGGGGGAATCCGTTCACTGAGAAGGAAAAGAGCCAGTGGAGGGTGCTGACATTCCGACCCTACCTTCGTTGAAGAGAAAACGAGGGGACCCTGGCTGGCGCTCGTTAGAATGGATTGAAGGGTGGCTATGGATGAGTGTTGATGACCGGTTCAGTCTGCTAGACGTATCGAAGAACCGACATCCCTTGTTGATCAACACTCAACGTATCCGCTTCTTCTGACGAAAATGACTTGGACTGCGACGCTTCAGGCAGAGCTTAAGAGGCTCTCTTTTGAGAAGCTTCTCGATCACGCTTGGAAGGGATCA